CAACTCCCAGAATTCCCCAGCCAACAAGGCTGGCTGGGGAATTCTGGGAGTTGAAGTCCACCCGTCTTAAAGTTGCCAAGGTTGGGGGACCCTGCTGTATAGGAATGGCAATATGTACTGTATGCCTTACTGAGATTTTGGTAGAGCAAGAATAAAGTAAAAAAACATGGTTCTAAGCATGGCTACTGAGATCCCATTTACAGAGATGTGAAGTGTTCCCTCAAGTCCAATATCTGGAGATCCCCAGGTACTAGAGCTGGTGTCTAGTCTGTTGACCAATCAAAGGCAGAAAAATAAGTTCCTAATAGGGATACTAGGCCTGCCCATACCATCTGCTAATCACAAGTGTTTCCTTCAGTGTCTGAAGAAGAGTCTAAGGTCTGGTCCCAAAAATTCCAACTAATGTAGACATCAGCCTCACTTCATGAAGCTCCTAATTCCAGCTGTAGTTTCAGATGCTATTATGTCAAAGGATGCTATAGAAAAAGTCATCAGAAAATTAGAAAGGAAAATGGATTATCTGTTTACTTCTGAGAACTAATACATGAACTATACTCAGTCAGCATTATATAAGAAATAATTCACTTACACGTTGTCTCTCTTATACTGACAGCAGGCCCTTCTATTTCCTGAACTTGTGCATAAATACTGATATTATATTTTGTGCCAGGAAAGAGGTCAAAGAAGCAATGCCTAGAAGTCCCCCAACCTAGCAGTTCTTCTTCTTTCACCCCATCTGAAAGCACAGAGAAAACATTAAATGATCAGGGCTTTATTGTTATTTTCTAGAATACGCAGCATAATAAAGAAGAACATTGTAAACACCAGTATATTTTGAATTGTATGTTCCTCCAGGGAGGAGGACTGTGTATAGGATCATGAATCACTCCTGTTTCTGTTATTCCTTCATGATGAAGTAACTCTAATCTATTAATGTCAGCCTTTGGGTAGACCAGATCAGGAAACAGAACCTTGTAAGCCTAATTGTGCTTTACCTCCCCTCCCTCTTCTATCCCAGTGAATCAGGGAGAAGCCAGCCTGAGTCTCTTCCAAGCACTATCTTTTTACCAGGACTTAAGGAATGTTTCAGCCCTCTTTGCTTGTATAATGGTTCTTGCCTATTTCCTTCAAGGTCATCTCCCTGATTCTCTGCAACTAAAGTAGGTTACTTCAAATTTTGAGACTGATGGGCATGTTTGGAATTTTAAGAACATATTGTGGGTGTGTAAAATGGTTGCCGGGGTGTCTCATCTGTTTTACAAAATGGCTATGATAGGCATGGAAATTGGATAGCCTTCCTATAAACCACCTGGCATTGGTCACCCACCATATTTATTTTTGAAGAATGCCAACTTCTCACGTATTCACTTTCAATTGAAATAACTAGATTTTTTTAACAGGACTGCTGAGCTCTAAAGGAGATGTCTACAGGTCTTCTACATGTCTACATATTTCTGCCCTAATGAATACCTCAGCTTGCTACCAGAATGGATTAGTTAGTCTTTTACTGGGAGAGTTTCAGCAGTTCAAAGCTTCCAACCATGTAACTCTTGCCTTTCAGGTAAGAGGGAGACCTAACTCTTACCTGGATTCTTCTCATGCCAAATAGGGAATATCTTAATAGTTGAGCAACATATGTATGATATACCGACTTACCAGTAAGAGATTCTATTACAACTCGGTAAGCAGTCGCATGTCTGTGGGGCTGCCACTGAACACATAAACTTGTCATTCGTGTTTGATAAGCTCCTAGGTTTGTCACACCCAAATACACTGCAAAGAAGTACAATATTAATAATGTGTCTTCTTAATCAATTCCAGCACACATAAAAAGACACATGAAAACATACTTTTCTACACGATTTGGATATCATAGTAACCATGGTTCTTGCTTAATGGAGTTCCTTTTTTAAACAGAATTAGAAACCAGGGGAGCTTTTAACAGTGATGCTAAGCTAGTGCCAACAGTGGAAAGGCATACGACTCCACCATGGGAAAGCAAATCATGGAAGCAAAAGGGAAACTTCTAAGGCCGTGCCAAAATCTGCCTTGCAGTTTCTGAAAAGTTTTCCTCCTCTGTAGTGAAAGAGGCTTTTGTTCTTCTATCGCATTCCATCAATGATGCTTTGAGCATAGCTGATTGTTGGAGATAGTGGTGGGGTTTCATATTACAGATCTTTCCATCATTCTGAGGTCTTCCGGGCTGTCCACACCTCCCAATCTGACAGAGGTCTGCAGGAGAAATGCCCTTATTATGTATTCCTTTGGAACTGAGCTGAAGTGTGTGAAATCTGGAATGCTGCAGACTTCTGGAGAAAGGATTGTACAGGATAACCCCACACACCTCTTTGCCACCTGGTCACCCAAACATCAGACTCAAGCTATGAGAATTTCATGAACATTTTGTTCTCCTCTGAAATACATGAGAAAGCATATTCTCTTTCATCAGACTGAAGAATGCAGGAGAAATTTTCAGCCAAGCATTAAGAATGGGAAACAGAAGGAGAAATTACAAAGAGGTTGAGGCATAACATCTGAAGTCCTTTGAAGATTTTGGAGAGAGGAGCCCCAGAGTCATACTTTAATCTTATTCATCCTTCTTCTCTTTACAGTTTATGACTGTAAACTCCTCATTGATCACAATTTAGACACTTGGGTTTGCCCAACATGCTTAACCAGGAAAGATGTGGAAAGGGGTCAACTTTTACCAGGTTTCAAACACCCAGATATAAGTTTTCAGAACTATTACAAAGAATGGAACTGACCACTTCTTAGTAAACAAAAAGAGATATACAAAAATGGATCTGATTTTAAAAAGTTATCTTCCACTTTCTATTCCAAATGAAAAATATCCAGCAGAGACCCTCATTCTTCATGTCATACCCAGATTATGACTTCTTACTAAAGAAAATTATCATAGTTAAAAATAAAGATAGAAAAGAGGAATGATCCCATTTTTAATGCTAAGGTTACCAGTGAAATATGATCCATGGAAAAAAGGATACCAAGAAACAGAAGGTTCTTACATGTTTTGGCAACATCTGTTAAGGCTTCACTAAATCCTGTAGAGTATGAAGCAAATACTTTAACATTGTATTCTGTTCCACTAAGCAAATTCAAGATAAGGATAGTGTTGATATCATCACCCACAAAGGTTTCAAGTGCTGGTCCAGAGACTGAAAGAAACAAGAGAAGAATTCAGTGCACATGGGTTTTTTTCCATAAAACTGCATTCAGGTTAAAGACGCTGGGAAATTTCATTACTGCTTTCTTATCCCCAAAAATGATCCTTAATTGGAAAGCAGGAATACATAACAAGAGGCCTATAATAACATAATAAAATAAATATGACATATAGATGTGATGTATAGTTTCATATTTATTCACAGATTGTTTGTTTTACAGGCTCTAACCTCTGAAGTTCAGAAAAGAAAAGGGAAAGATTTCTTAAAGATTTCTTTGTTTAGAACAGTGTTGTCGAAACTTGGCCACTTTAAGATGAGTGGA